GATACTGATCCTCATCCCTCCGCCGCTTGTGCTTTTCATGCCGAGCTCTCGCACAACCTTCCAGAAGAGTCATTCCCTTCGCCGCAAACAATGAGGCAACTGCTCACTCTGGATCCGATTGCCCGATTCTCTTCTCTCCGCCAAAGCCGGATACACTCCCTCTTTGCGAAGACGCTTTACCAGCCCCAGCAAGAAATGTTGGATCGGGCTGGCATCTTGGAAGGCCAGCGATCCTCTTTCGATGACTTCGGCTTGCCGTCCGCGGTAGAGCGGGGTGTCGCCATCGCACGGTCCCTGCATCTTCATGCTACAGCTCTTTCAGTAGGCACTCTCTGAGGCAGTAATCGCATCCTCTACAGGAAGTTTTGCTCAGGCCTCAGGGGACGTCGAATGTCCCCACCCTTTTTGCTTTGTAGTGCTAGCTGCCCGTTAAGAGCGTTTCTGTTTCACCGACTCTCGACAGCATGTGCGAGCAAAAGTTCCCTCCTGTCCGCGGGGTTTTGTAAGAGCGGGGTGACGTTGTCATAAAGTTTTAAGGCACCTGGGGGCTACCCTCAACTAAGTTTGGGGGTCTACCCCCTTTTTGCCCGTTGCTAAGGTGCCTACAACAGATGCTTCGTCTACGCCTCTCGCAGCAGAAAAAAAATAAAGGGAACGTGCCAACTGTGTACAGTTTGCTTGCACGCTGTGGTGGCCGTTTTGGCAAGCTTTCGAAGTAGCAGAACTCTCTTGTTAGAAATAATGTAGAGTTCTGCGAATGCTGTTGGCTTGACGCAAGATTTTGCGCTCAAGTATTTCTTTGTGCCCGCCCACCCTCCCCGGGGTGACGTTGACATCTTAAGGCTGATGACGAATGACGAACATTCAGGAAAAAAGAATGACAAATGATGAAGCATAATGGAACATGATGATACTCAGGAAACTAAGAAAATGATGAAAAATGAAAGCAACGGAAAATGACGAGAGACCAAATGCTCAACAATCATGGAAATGATGCAAACAAAGCCGCGTAACATCATGAAAACAATGAAAATTTTGACAAATCACGAACAACTATGAAAATAGACGAAAATTACGACAAAAAACTGAAAAACAGAGAAAATTATAGTAACTGATGAAGAGAAGAAAAGCATGGTGTAAAAGACGGAACATGATGACATATGCTTGCGCGAATGTGCTTTGTCAAGAAACAGCGGCGAGGTTGGGGTTGGGGGGGGCACAGCCCCCTCCCAGTTGCAAAATCTGATCTGGCAACGTGATGTGATTAATGATGAGAAGGGGATGAACATGATAACAAATTATGAAAATGATGAGAACTTATGATTTTTACGAAAACAATACAAATAATGACAAATCATGACTAGTGATGAAAATTATGAAGAATTATAAAAAATAATAAAAAAAAAATTGAAAATTACGAAAAGATGAAAAGATACTGAAAATCATGAAAATAATAACAGCAAATTATGAAAATCATGAAAAATTAAACCATGACACTCACACATCCTTTTGCAGACAAACTTCTCAAGAACCTCTCACGCGTCATGGCTACTGAGAATGCCGTAGGCAAGAGCCACCCACCTTGATGATCCATGGTCCTTACGATCATCACCTTTGAACCTCCCAAGTCGAATCCCAAAGATGTAGTTGACAAAGGGCTGGGCAGTGAGGGCGAAGCGGAAGCGGAAGTTGTAGAAGCGGTGTTTAAAACCAAGGCTCGACAACTCGGGCGTGAGAGGTGAGAGCGAATGCAAGGTGATGACAAAGCTTATCAGGATGTGGTTGTGCAACACGTGTCAATGGAACCCTTTGTCTGCTGCTGCCAGTGAGTTGGATGTGGCGAAAACCTGTAGCACAGAATCCAGGCCGGCCTGTGCAAAGTCGCTGGCATCTTTGGAGGTCTTGCTCATCAATCCTGGAACAGAGCAACAAGGCTCGTTTTCTCCATGGAACTCCAAACTGGCAAAAGTCTGTGGTAACAGCCTGAACGTGAACGTGAGGAAGCCGACGAAGCCACTGCAACCTGGGCAAGTACCATGCTTTACTCGCGTAAGGATGCTCCATGATATAGGGAACCCCGAGTACCTCTCCGTCTTCCAGAAGTGCTGCCGGGACCTGAAGTTGCAGCTTGTTCCTTACCAGGCTCGCCACAGCGGGCCATCAATCGACCGAGCATCCGGGGATCTAAGCCAAGAAGATGTGCCAAAAAGAGGCGGCTGGCTGAGCCGTCAGTCGGTGGCCAGATACGAGAAGGCCGGGAGGCTGAAGCTGTCATCGGAAGTCCAACTCACTTGTGTGATGGCGGAAAAGTATATCGAGGAAATCATCCTAGGCCAAAGCTATCCGGTCATCACCATTCCTGGCTGACACGACGTGGCCAGTACTTCGCTGACCTGTTCTCAGGGCATGGCGGAGTAGCAAGGGCTGTTCGCAAGCTTGGTTTTTCGACACGGGAGTGGGAGCTTGAAAAAGGGAAGTCTTTCGACCTGACCAAAAAGTCTGTACTCTTCAAAATAAAAGAGGACATTCGCAGGGGTCTGGTGATTGCTGCAATGCTGGCTCCTCCCTGTACTACCTTTTCAGTGGCACGAGACAGGACATCGGTCATTCGAACCAAGGATGAGCCTTGGGGGATCCATGATCTGAACGCAAAAGACGCTGAAAAGGTTAAAGCTGGAAATCAATGCATGAGGTCCGCCCTTCGCGTAATACACTGGCTTGAGAAACACCAGGTAGCTGAAGTCCCACTGGATCCAAATGATTGCCCAGAATTGGCCCCAAAAACTGAAGCCAGCCCAAGTCCAAAAGAACAGAGTCGTCCTTCGACCCTGTCTTGGAGACATCCTGAGTCTCGCTGAGGCTGGTCACCATCGACCAGTGCCCTGTGATGCCAGAGGTGCGCCTCACCAGTCCCATCTTGCAACGCGTCAGCAATGCGCTGGGCCTAGGAGGTTGAAAACAGCCATCTGAACCTGGCCGCGGGCCACCATTCTCCAGCTCACTCCGCACCAGACTGCCAGAGGGTAAGCAAGCCGCGAGCGAGATGGGCACAGCTTTCTCCACCCCTTTAAGCATCTCCACGCACGAGGGATCTTCCTTGACCCAACTCGCCAAAACTCCGGCAACTTGTCCAAGAAGGCCGCGATGGTGTAGTCCCCGAAGTGGCTCCCCTCTCCCTCAAAGTAAGCTTGATTGAAGAACTTCAGCATGGCCATGCCCACCTCCTGCCCTTCCAGCGTCACAAACTTTGCCCAGGTCCTGCAGGCGACGCTTGTAGTGATCCCTCACTTGCCTGGCGACGGCAGCATTCTCCAACAGGCTCTGTCCCGTCATCACCGCGTCCACCACGTGCTGAAGGAGGCGCTTCCGGCGCTGCTTTGCGACACGCTCTCGCCCTCCACTTTTTCTACCTGTACCTTCATCTCGGACGGCGCTCTCGCTCTCGTGCTCTTCCTGCCTGAGGGGACTCTAACTCCTGCAACTGTCGCTCCGTGGTCGGAAGCTTGAGCACCTCTACTTTCGCGCGCCAAAGCCTCTGCGACAACTGACTTCCCAAGTCCAAGGTCCGAGCCCTCTTCCCGCGTGAGGCAGGGAGGAGCACATCTCTGGCGCCCCCCACAGTCCGCTGCTTCCTTGCTCCTGGCTTGCTCGGTCCCTGGCTTGTGGCAGTAGTCACCTTCCCAGGAGTCAACGTCCGACACCGTTTCGGGCCCATGGCGGCTCCACTCTTCAGTCAGAAGATCAACCAACAGTTTAGACACTTCAGTGGCATAGATACGAGATGGTTCGTCAGAAATGTTGCGCTCTATCCAATGCATGGTGGCTGAAACATTCCTTGCCATACAGTAAGCGCAATACTCCCTGAGAATCTTCAGAAGCAAGTAAGTCTTGCACCGGCCCCGCTCAAAGCAAAGAACACACGCCATGTCGCCGCGCAACAGAAGCTGCCTCATGTTGTCCACGCCGAGTCATGAGGGTACGTTTCAAACCTTTGAGCGCAGCGCGAGCTTCAAGTACAAGGATGCCCTCTTGATGCCTCCAGGCGCCCCACAACTTCGGCGTCCAGAGCTCCCTACACAATCCACCAGCAGCAGGTATTTCTGGGAAAACAGGATCCACCCCCCAGCCCTCCTTGGCGACGTTGATGCCAACATAGTCGGCACTGAGTAGGGTTGATTCCCGAGCCGAGCCGAGCGCGGACCCACCCGCCTCAAGCGAGCCCTCTCACTGACTGCCCGAACTGGCAACCCTCGATCAAGGCCACCACGCCTGACAGACCCCAACCGGATTCCACGGCCTCTTCCAATCTTGACAGAGCAGCAGAAGGACACCTTGAAAACACTGCAGCTCCTCCTGACGGTTTGCCATAAGGGACCGACATCGTAGCACGAGGCCTGGATGAAGCTGTAGACCGTGTTAAAGATGGAGAGCGAAGGCCTGAACATTAGTGCACAAGAAGTACAGTGTCCAATGATGATCTCCAGTGAGAGCCCAGTGCACCTGCCGCGCCGTAGGAGAGCCAAGATGCCCTGCCGTAGCCTCCACAATCTTGATGGATTAAGCCGGCTTTCTTTGCTATAACCATCCAGTATACAACCCAAAGCTTCAACATCAACTGACCCAACCTCGCTCTTGTGAAGATTCAGCCCCAAGCCGTTGAAGATGGCCTGCAAGTCATCAAGGGCTTGCTCAACGCGCGGACGATCGGTGTCAATGACCCAAAGGTTATCGACATACACATAGTAGTATCCCCCAGGTGCCACATTCCCTTCATCATGAAGCCGACTGCGCGTGCCCACCTGGATGACTATGGGCTTGTCCTTGTCTGAGGCTAGCTTGGCCTGACGAAGCATGACTGATCTGTGGCAGACAGTCTCGATGGCTTGCTGTGCAAAATACAACAACCAAGACCACCCTTGACAAAGAAAACCAGCACAGGGCCACTCAGGCAGCCTCATCCGATGGAAACAGTCCTTCACATCACTCAACCCGATAAAGGCTTAGGCTGCCGACACCGCTTCCGGGTCGTTCAGAAGCTCAGGAGAGACCTCAAATTTGATTTTGCCAAGCCCTTCGCTGGTCATGAGGCGAACCCTGGGCGGAGCCTTGAACAACTGGTTGGGACGCCGAGCATCAGTTATCAGCCTAAGGTGTGTCCGAGAACTCTTCCACACAAAGAAAATGCCAACGGATGATTTAGGCCTGGTAGTGAAGTTGAAATAGCCAGCTCCATGCAATCGTTGGACAAGACGATGGTACTCCTTCTTATTGAACTTGAGCTTGGGGTCCCAAGAAGGTATGATGGGTTCGTGCTCTATCTTATCACCATGTCTTAGCATCAGCTCTGATTTCTCCTCCAAGAACCGAAGGTCGTCAAGTGGGAGCACCTGATCAAGGCTTGGGCACCCGGTCACATCATCTGGGATTGAGACGAGTTCGGCCTGGTAGGAGGCGAGAGTTTCATTGGCAGGCTTCCAGTCGTATGGAGACCCACCCCTCCTTTGGACTGGCAAGAAGCCAGCCCATCCAATCGGCTGAGCACCTGACGTTGCACAGGTGACGGGGTGAAGGTCGTAGAAGAACCTCGCCCAGCCAACCAATTAAGAGAGTCAACCGCTTCATTCACGTCGTCAACTCTTCTTCAAATTATGCCCCTGCGTTGCTCGGAAGATCTACTGCTCGAAGACTTTCGCATAGGACAAGTTGCATATGGGAGGGGAAACAATTCTCGTTGCCCAGCTGCCGGCCAATGTCTGTCACGCGCTGGCAGCCTCCCATCCCCTCTAGAAAAATTCGGAGGCGAGCTAGAGGGGTACGGCTCACCCCCGGGCTCATCAGGCTGCATCACCCCAGCCCCCTCCCTTTCGGCCTCCCTTCGGGCCTTTCTTGGGGGCTGGTTGGGTTTCCTCGCGTTCGTCTGCGACGACGGCTGGACCTCCGCGCAATTCTCGAACCTTCATATGGGCCTGGATCAACTCAAGCTCATCCTTATTCTTTTTCGTGGCATAAGTCCTGAAGGTCGGTGACACAAGATCATCAGGCGAGCCAAGGCCAGCAAACACCTTCGCGTTGTCCTATGAGGGGCGGGCAGGTTCATGTAGGCGTCAACGATGGCCTGAAGCCTGCGGCAAATGACCTCCTGCCCCATCAGTGCTGGAATGTTATAACTTGATCGAAGGTGCCCGAGAAGAACAAAGAATCGGTAAGAACCTTCAGCTCACAGTAAAACCTATCAGTGGTCTCGATGTGTTTAGTACGGCGCCAAAGCAACAACCATTGTCTGGGGTCGCCCCCGTGTCTTTCCAGTTGCTTCATCACACGCATGGCAGTAAGCGGACCTTCCAGGGGTTTCTCGTCAAGGGCAGGAGTGTGGGACTCATTCACGACATCTCACCACCTTTTGTATCGTTCGCCTTGGTCATCGTAGTAGACCCAGAGCATTCTGATCTCTTCACCCGCGACCTCAGCTGAAGCATCCTCCTTCTTGTCCGGCCTCAGCCGCTCCAGCAAGCTCTCGGCTCTGGCTGGCGCCGCAGTGGTGGAGAAAAGAGCTCGGTGCCGGTCCGCATAGCCACCCGCGTCCTCAACTTTGACCAGCTCAACCTTCACCCAATGGCCCTGCGGCAACATCAGCGCGGTCCTGTCACCCACACCAACAGCTGCTTCCGGGCTCAAGCTGACCTCCTGTCACAACTGGAGGCCTCCAAGGGGCTCGGCAGCAAGCCAGACATAGTCTTGAGGAGCTGGAGCAACTTCAACAGCATTATCTGGCGCTCGGCAGGGGGAGCCTCAGTTGATCCTCTGGCACCATGTCCTAGGCCAAGCCGCCTCTGAACAAACCGACCTCCAAACATGCGCGCGGGGCGAACGCTGGGA